CGAGCTTCACTCCCTCGACTTCTCTACTGCCTTTCTTCAGGGCAGCCTACACGAGCAGGTCTACCTGCGCCGACCACAGGGCTTCACTGGTACCTTCCCTCCTGGGACCCAGTGGCTTCTCAGGCGCCCGGTCTACGGCCTGCGTCAGGCTCCCCGCGAGTGGCACGACACGCTACGTGCCACGTTAGCAGACCTGCAGTTCTTTCCGTCCTGTGCTGACCCTTCACTGTTTGTGCGTTCCGGCCAGACACCGTTCTACATCCTTGTCTACGTAGACGACCTGGTCTTCGCTACTGCTGACAGGGACGCACTGGCCTCTGTGAAGGCTGAGCTGCTGAAGAGACACACCTGCACTGACCTTGGAGAGCTGCGTCGCTATCTTGGCCTGCAGATCTCTAGGGACAGAGCAGCACGCACCATCACTCTGACACAGTCACACTTGGTGCGTCAGGTCCTTCAGAGGTTCGGCCTTCAGTTCTCCTCTGCACAGCCCACACCTCTACCCGTAGACCACGGGCTCTCCGCTCCCGTTCCTGGAGAGCCAGTAGAGCCCAGCGGCCCCTACGCAGAGCTGGTGGGTTGCCTCATGTACCTGATGACTTGCACTCGCCCAGATCTCGCATACCCTCTCAGCATCCTGGCTCGCTTTGTGGCTACAGGCAGACACCGACCTCAGCACTGGTCTGCCGCTAAGAGGGTTTTGCGTTATCTTGCTAGTACATCAGGCATGGGGTTAGTGCTAGGAGGACGCAGGCCAGTGGTCCTTACTGGGCACACAGACGCTTCTTGGGCAGACGACTCTGAGACGCTCAGGTCGTCGCAGGGCTACTGTTTCAGCCTTGGTTCGGGTGCTATCTCTTGGAGATCCACTCGCTCGTCGTCTGTGGCTCAGTCTAGCTGTGAGGCTGAGATCTACGCTGGTGCCATGGCGGCACAGGAGCTCCGCTGGCTGACCTTCTTGCTCACAGACTTAGGTGAGCGGCCTAGCTCTGCCCCGGTCCTGTACGCTGACAACAGGGCCATGATACTCCTGTGTCAGGAGCCTCGGCTTGAGGGCAGAGCGAAGCATATCCAGCTGCGGTACTTCCTCCTGCGCGAGCTACAGCAGCGCTGCCAGGCCCGTGTAGTTCACTTGGCCTCAGGTGCCAACACAGCTGATATCTTTACTAAGGCGCTTGCGCCTAAAGATCATCAGCGGCACTGTGTACAGCTTGGTCTTGTTCCTGTAGCTGCTCCCCTGTTAGGATCCTGATTGTGTACTCTCTATTATATATGCTTGTCAGACTGGCCTTGTGGCCTTACCTCCGGTGGCTGGACTAGTAGTGCCACCCTGGCTTGCTTCAGTTTTGGTTGTATTCTTGCTGACTGGTCTCCAGACCCCTGCCTCAGTGGTTGGACTAGTAGTGCCGCCCTGAGCTGTTTGCTTCTTGTTTAGTTTCACCCCTTGTCTAGCCTAGGGGGTGTGTCAACTTATACATATTATCTATGTAGAAGTTATAGGCTAGACTGAGGTATGCTTCTAGTGAGTACAACCAACTAGTATTTGTTCTAGGTTTCCACTTCTAGTAATCATTCGTTCTCACTTTGACAGTACACACGTGCCTCAAATTTCCACATATCTCACATAAAGCATAGATAGTACAATTTCCTATCTTCAACATGCCATTGCACAGCAACGTCTGGCATTTTACATGCCATTTTATTCCTGATGCAATATTGGAATTCAAGGCTTAGCACAACAACGGTGCACCATACTTTGATCCTGAGATGGTCTCCCTAGAACTAGGTGTCGCAGCTTTTGAAGAACAACCTGCAAAGAGGTCAAACAAACGTTGTCTTAGCATTCTGCCAGTCACCCAAAGATTTCCAGAAGAAACACTTCCACCAAGATGGATTGCAGCATATGGATGCAGCATAGACAACCATACCTCTGTCCTGCGTTGAGTTCGTTGCAGCCAATGCACCTGGCGCCTGCCCTTCTCCCCTTGCATCATCCCAGCACGATGGTTCTGGCCACCTCCTTCGGCCATGCCACTCACACAGTCCTTGCCCTGCTTGCCCTGTGCCTTCCTCAGCACTGCAATCAGCTGATTGTCCCTCCTCTCCGCTTCACTACAGTCACACTCACTAGTCTCATCACTGCCACTGTCACTCTCCGATAACCCCCCCACATCATCCTCAGTGTCATCCGTCTCGTTCTCCTCCCCCTCGAACTCGTCAAACCCAGCCACCTCCTCCCCCCCGCCCATGGCGGCCTCTGCCAGCTCCTTGAGGATAAAATCCATATCGTCTGCGCGGACACCGATCCACTGTAGACCCTTGCTGGAGCCACGAGCAGCCTTGCCCCTGGGGCTGCTGCTGCTGTCGGCACCGGTGTTTCCATGAGCAGGCGCTACTGGTGCTGGTAGTACTGCAGCAGTTGCACCCTGGAAACTACCTTCTATGGCCATGCTCGCAATTCCAGCAGCAGCAGCAGCACCAGTGGATTCAGCAGCGGCCTTTTCCTGCTGCCGCCTCTGCCGCATCTCTGCAAACATCACGCTGAACCCCTTGCCCTCCGCCCCCGCGTCGTACTTTAACGCGGATGACATGGTGGGGGGGCCTGCCCTGCCCCGTGACTGTGAGGGCGAGGACGAGGGAGGAGCGCTGCAAGGAGCAGACGAGGCTGCTCCACCCATTCCTCCGCCCATTCCTCCGCCCATTCCTCCGCCCATGCCTCCGCCCATGCCTCCGCCCATGCCTCCGCCCATGCCTCCGCCCATTCCTTCCCCACCTGCCCTTCCATCCGTTCCCTGTTGCCCAGCCTCACCCTTCGCCGATCCGTCAGCATCAGAGCCACAACTGCCAGCCAGCGGCTTCTCCCTGCTCCCGGCATCAGTGCCACGTTCCGCTGTGCTGCCAGGATGAGAGCCAGCCCGCTGCCCAGCGCACGCTCTGCTGGCCTTCAACCTCGCTTCCGCTCCCCCATCCGCTGCAGCCCCCCCCACAGGGACTTCCGCCTGCCCTTCCGTCCCGGTTGGACGCGCAACTGGCGCAACTGGGGCGACTGGCGCAACTGGCCCAGGTGGCGCGACTGGCGCAGGTGGCGCTAGCGGCGCAAGCGGGGCGACGCCGGGCTGGCAGAGGCCGAGCAGCTGCACCACCTCCTGGCGGCACAGCCGGCTGTGCTCCAAAAGCGCTAACAACGACGAGTCATCCCAACATCTGTCCGCCGCCGCCGCCGCCGCCGCTCCCGCCGCGTTTTGCGCGCGCGATCCCCTCCGCCCCGGGGTTGCGGACGAGCCTTCATGGGGGAGTGCCGTTGGGGAGCCGAAGGGGGAGCCGAATGCGCCGGATGCGCGCACGGGGGAGGAGGGCGCGCTGTTGCTGCTGTCCATGAGCTGGCGCGAGACGGAAATGCGGAGGTTGCGCGAGTTTCGCAGCCGCTGGCGGACCTGCTCCGCCGCCTCGGCGGGGGAGGCTCCGCTGCTCGTTGCGCCTGGCGGGGACACCGCCACGGGCGAGTGAAAGGAGAAGGAAAACCGAGGCGGGGGATAGGGAGGAGGCGAGTCGTCCCCTGGAGGTAGGGGCGATGAGTCGCATTCAACGTGTGGACGAGGAGAGTCGTCGCATTTTGTCGAACAGAAGCTGTCGCCGGAGGTGGTGGCGACGAAAGCGTTGCAGGAGTCGGAGTCGGATGCTTGGCACGAGGAGCTGGCGGAGAGTGGGAGCAACGGCGGGGGCATGCCGTCGTCGACACGAGATGAGTCGAGCCCTGACTTCGCACTGCTGCCGCCGCTACTGCCACCGCTGCTGCTGCTGCGGCTGCTGCGGTTGCTGCGGCTGTTGTGGCTGCTGCCGCTGCTGCCCCTGCTGGCGCCCTTGCCACCGCTCAGAATGCCCCCTTTGCGCCCCTGGCTGCTGATTCGGCGCGGCGGAAGAATCGGCGCCCATTGTGGGAACAGACACGTGTCGGCCGCTGGGGACATGGGGGACAGGGCTGACGTGGACGCCAATGCGAGGTCCACGTCATCATGGCTCGCGCTCCCCTCCCTGCTGCTCGCAGACCGGCTCGTTTCGCCTCCACCGATGCTGCTACGGCCGCTGCTTGCACCTCGGGAATGCCGAGAGCCTGTCTCCGAAGAAGCGGCGGAAGCGGCGGAAGCGGCGGAGCCGGCGGAAGTACTCGGGGAAATGGGGGAGAGCGGAGGGGGTGTAGAGAGGTCAAGGAGGAGGGAGTGGGGGGAGGGAGGGCGGCGGGGCTTCTGGCGGAGGAGGGCGAATTCCTGCGTGTATTTCAGTCGACGGCTGCACGCGCCGTCATCGTCATCGTTATCGTTATCATCTAGCACCCAGTCCCCGAATGCGGGAATGCGGGGCTTCATCCTGGAGGCTGCTGTGGGCGCTTCGTTTCGACTGCTCACTAGCTCACTACCTATGCATCGCTAGTTTTCTCGTTGTGCCGACCAATGCCGAGCAGCCATTTTTACCAGCAACACTAGGGCACCAGGTGTAGAATAGGTGCCACACGAGAGGGTGATGTGAGGGATGGGATGGGAAGGCGCGAATTTAGGGGAAATGCTGACGGCGGGGATGCAGGTGATTGGACAGGGGCGAGCGGGATGGGCATGGTTGGATGGTGATGCTCCTGTCGTTATTTTCGCTGATGTCGCAGGCTGGCTTCGGGGAAATGATTCGCGCGTTTCGCTGCCTGGAGCGTTACCTCTGGGAGGCCAGTCAGCAGCGGGAGTCGCGGGATGTCAATGTTCGTGGAACATCCGCGCGTCGCACCAGCTTCGCTCAGATTGGTCGGCGTTGGGAGGGGTGACGGCGGGGCAAGTCTTGTAACGCGTTTCGAACCACCAATGATAACCGATGTGCAGCTAAAGGGTGAAGCAATAAGGAGCGCCATTCAACAGCTCGGGTATCACAAATTTCAGCTTGCAATAGAATAAAAGCGTGTTAAGAGCATACATATACGGTACAACGATGACACTCAATCCCAATGTCATTTTATGCTCGATTGTGATAGAAATTTAATGCCAAGCTGGAAAACCAACAGACAGACAACTCAACAGTCAGCGTGCAGAGCCCTAGGCTTCCTACGACTAAGCTAGGAAGAAGGCAAGCCCTGTCCCTGAAGGCTCGCCTGCAGCTGCAGCCTGGGCAACGCATGCAGCTGTGGCTATTTACACAATGGGTCGCTTACATGCTGGCCCCACCACCCCACGTGCTCACATGTGTATTTTGAGTCGACTCAAACGGCTCATACGGGAGACACAAGGATGGAGGGATGCGGAGGGAGAAGCGGTGGGTGTGTGTGCTGACCGGTGCTGGCCCCCACGTGGTGAGAGACATCTCTAGAACCCTCTCCCCTACTCCTGCGCCCCCCTGCTCCTGAGCCACCTGCTGCTGCTCCTGTTTCTGTCCCACTTCCGTCCCCTCGTTACCAGACCCGCTCACAGGCTTTGGCTTTGCCGGCTGCTGCAGGTCACTGTTTGCCTCATGGTGCCCCATGCTAAACGCAGGTGCTTCAGCAGAGGAGGGTGAGATGCAAAAGTTGATGGTCATGCTGCCACCCGCAATCAGGATGCCTGCCCCAGGTAGCACCTGCACATGAAAGCACCAGAACAGAGCCACAGACACGCAGGGTCCGGTACTACTTTTGAGGTGCCCCTTATGCTAAAGACAATGCATGGAGGTCCAGCAGCTGGTAACAGTTTGAGGGAAAGTGGAAGAAAAGACCAGGCAGCAGAACTGAGGGGCATAGCAGAGAGCTGTACCTTGAGCCAGAGAGGGAATCCACCACCTGCCCGCACCATCTGTCCTCCCTGCCAACTGCTCTCCCTGCTACCTCCCCTTCTGCTTCCCCCTGTGCCTTTCCCTCCACTTACACTCCCTTGCTGCCTCTCTCCCTCACTCCCTTGCTCCAATGCTCCCTCACCCCCCTGCTCCCTCCCAGACCAAGAAACAGTCTCCCCCTCACACTGCACAATGAACCCCATAGAGTCACTGTCGTTCCGATTCATTACAATCACTGAAGCCTGCCCGGTCGAAGGATCCACATCCACACACGAGCCTGCAGCTGGCACATCGGGCAGGTGCGGCGAATTTTGCAGGGCTGCCCGGACCTGGCTGCTGAGGGTGAGCAGGCGGCCGAGCAGGCACCTGGTGGCGGGCAGGTCTATTGAAGCAACGGAGACGTCCAGGAGGCACCTGACGGGCTTGTGGTCGCTTTGAGTGGCTGCCATGCAGGCGTCGTAGCGCTGCACTCGAGCCTTCATTGGCTGGGCGAGAGTGCTCTCCTGGTGCTTGAGTGCTCTTTGCAGAGCACCAGCACTGGAACTCGCAGTCACACCACCAGCACCAGCAGCACCAGCAGCACCAGCAGCACCAGCAGCAACAGCAGCACCACCACCCCCACCAGCAGCTGTAGGAGCACCAGCAGAACCAGCAGCAGCGGAACTAGAGGACGCAAAAGTGAAGGCAGCAGGAACACCACCAGGTGCCTGGGGGCTGTTGCTACCATCCTCGCTAGAGCCACTACCAGACCTTCCGTTACCACTCAAATCCTTGTTACTCAAGTCCTCAGTGCTGCCATACCCGGGCGCAAAATTACTGTGTTCTACTACTGGCAGAGTCTCCCTTTCATTGACCAGGCCCTGGAAAATGTGAACCTCACTCATGTCTCCTGTGCTTTCATCTGTTTTGCTCAGCTCGCGTGGCTCTGCATACGGCGTTGCAGCCGTTGCCACTGCTGGTACTGCTGCTGGTGATGATGAGGCGGAGGTGGGGCTCGTGTTAGTGGGAGGAGAAGCGAGAGTGGGAAGGGTGGGAGAGGAGGAGGAAGTGGGGGGAGAGGGGAGCACAGGAGGCATGGAGGGAGGCAGAGAGGAAGGCAGGGAAGGTAGGGAGGTGGGTGGAAGTGTGGACGGCAATGTGGGCGGCGGTGAGGGCGGCAGGCTGGGAGTGAAGCTATCTCGGAAGAGCACTCGGTCGCACCATGCGGGCACACGGCGCTTCTCCCCTGAGTCATACGCTGCCACACGCGCACACGGGGTTTTGGGGAAAGAGCGGAGTGAGAAGCAGAGCAAGGAAAAAATGAAAACAGAGGCAAGGAATAGGTAGGAGAAATGCTCAAATGCGCGTGAATGGCTCTCACCTAGGGGATCAGTGGTCCCTCGGTCGAACTTGTAGGTGGGGGGGAAGGCAATGAGCCCCTCCTCCATGCCTCGAAACGCCCGCCCACACGCCATCTCCCGCCGCAGCTGGTCCCCCGCCAGCAGCACTGCCAGGTTGCGCGCCGCCACCTCCCCCTTGGCCTGCTCGTAGGAGACGCCCTCCACACGGTAGTTGAGGTCGCCCATCCACACCAGCAGATCTGCGTCTGCCAGCTCTGGTGTCTTCATCTCCTCAAGCTCCTGAAGGGGAGCGGTGGGGAGCGAGGGAGGAATGGGAAACGGTTGTATTGCTGCCAGGCCTGTTGGTGTGCGAATCCCTCCACGCAGTAGTTGAGATCGCCCATCCACACCAGCACATCCGCCTCTGATAGCTCGGGTGCCTTTCTCCTCAAGCTCCTGCAGGGGTAGACGGGGAGTCGGAGGAGGGGAGAGTAGGGCAGGGAGATCAAGGTGGGGGGATCAAGGTAGGGAGCGATGACGGCAATCAGCCCTTCTGAACGTCCAGATTGCATTCGCTAGCTATTCTCTCCCCACTACTTTCCCCACGTATCTCCCACTTCTCCCCCCACCTCCCTCCCCTCTCTCCCCACACCCCTCTCACCACCCTCTCACCACCCTCTCACCACCCTCTCACCACCCTCTCACCACCCTCTCACCACCCTCTCACCACCCTCTCACCACCCTCTCACCACCCTCTCACCACCCTCTCACCACCCCTCTTTACCCCTCTTTACCCCTCTCTCACCTCCTCCCCATCACGTGCAAGGACCAAGTCGTCCAGCCATGACGTGGCATCATCCGACCAATCAAATCTCCCGCCCGGTGAATCCCCAGTGAGCCGCCCGCTCCCAAACCCTCCCCTCTTTGGACTGATTCCCATTCCTGCCCCTGACCCCCCTGCTGCTGCTGCTCCTGCTCCTCCTGATCCCCCTGCCCCTCCTGTCCCTCCTGCCCCTGCTGCCGCCCCTGCCACTGCTCCTGCTGCCCCTGCGGCTGCTGCTGCAGCTCCGACCGCCGCCCCTGCAGCAGCCTTGACTATCCCTTGCACTGCCGACTGCAGGCCAGCTGGTTTTGTGAGCCACAGGGGGAGATGCGGCGGAAGGAGAGGAGAAGGGCAGTGAGAGGACGAGGGCTTTGAGACGCCCTCAGAAGTAAACTTCTGACCGTCGCCCCTGCTGCAGCCTTCACTATCCCCTGCAGTTCCGACCGCAGACCTGCTGGTGGCGTGAGACGCAGGGGGGGATGTGGAGGTAGGGGAGGAGATGGGCAGTGAGGAGAGGACAGCAGAGAAGAGGGGAAGTAAGAAGGCGGACTGAATCAACACGGATTCCACTGAAGCTCTCAGCCCACCCCAGCCCACCTTCACCCCACCCCAGCCCACCTTTCAGCCCACCTCAGCCAACCTTTCAGCCCACCCCATCCCACCTTTCAGCCCACCCCATCCCACCTTTCAGCCCACCCCATCCCACCTTTCAGCCCACCCCATCCAACCTTTCAGCCCGCCCCCAGCGGCTCTCGCAGCAGAGGAGGCAGCGGAGGCGAGGGTGGGCTGCGGGCGGTAGAAGGAGAGATGGCGGTAGATGCGGCGCCAGTCGTCGTTGCGCTTGGCCACCCCGTCCATGTGGGCGGCGAGATGGCAGCTGATAAGCGCCACGGAGCGACCACACACACTCATGCGCACCGCCACCGCTCCCTGGGGAGCAGAGAGCAGGGCAGAGAGCCGGACAGAGAGGGGGGCGGGTAGTGAGATGGGAAGGGGTGCTGTGGCTACAGATTTAGCATCAGCTGTTACTGCGCTAGGCCACAGCGTCCATGTGGGCAGCGAGATGGCAGCTGATGAGCGCCACGGAGCGGCCACACACACTCATTCGCACTGCCACCACCCCCTGGAGGAGAGAGAGAGATGGAGGACGACTTTTGATTGGCCAAGTTTTCTCCAAAACTGGGCTTTAGGGTAAATCTTTGCTGCTGAAGACCACCGCAGCCAGCAGCTGCTTCAGGCAGCAGCTCAGATGGGTAGAGCACACATTTGAAATTGGATCGGAAATGAGCATCACCCACCTCCACATCGGAAATGAGATGGGCAAACACCGCCCTTGCTCCCCTCGCTCACCTTATTCCCAAGCTTTCGGCCAAAGCCCCGAGGCACAGCACCCACTTCCACATCAGAGATGAGATGGGCAAACGACGCCCGTGCCCTGTGAGACAATAAGAAAAGGACGTGCAGCAAACGACAAACAAAGTTTGGGAAGCGCCAGTGCAGGGAATATGGGGACGTGTTTGGCAGAGATGGTTCAGCCTGGCCCAGATACTGAATGCATCGGGTACATGCCCCCATGTTCCCATGCTCAGCATGGCACGCCCACCCCCACCCCCACACCCACCCCCACACCCACGCCCACGCCCACGCCCACGACCACGCCCACGCCCACGCCCACGCCCACGCCCACACCCACCCCCACCCCCACACCCACACTCACACCCACCCCCACCCTCACACCCACACCCACGCCCACGCCCACGCCCACACCCACCCCCACCCTCACGCCCACACCCACCCCCACCCCCACACCCACACTCACCAAACGGTGATGAGAATCCCTGCCATCTGCCTCGACATGATCCGCACAAAGACACCCTTGGAGTTCAGAGCAGCGCCCACAGCCGCCACCCAGTGGTCCCCCAGTGCCGACCCCCGCTCCTGCAGCCCCATCCTCACCGACTCCTTCGCCGCCGCTATCGCAATGGCCCCTGCGTTCATCTCCACCTCCTGCAACCCCACCGCCACTATATCCGCGCCCCCCCTCCCATCTGCAATCCCCCTCCCATCCACCCCCTCCGCCCCCTCCGCCCCATTCCCCCCATCTCCTGCCACTTCTCCAAGCCACGCCTCTACACTCCCCTGCACCGCTCTCTCCTCCCCCACGTTCCACGTGCACGCAGCCAGGCGGAAGCGCTGGCGGGCGGTGAAGAGGGCACAGGAGGAGGAGAGGGTGGAGCGCAGCACAGGGTCCACCGGGCCGGGGATGGCAGCCAGCCACGCGCTCACCTGGCCCGTGCGCGCCACGCACACGATGAAGCTGCTGCACCGCGCCAGCTGGCGGATGGCTGCTGGGGCCGCCGCCGCTGCCGCCACCGCTGATGCGGAGGCTTGAGAAGAGAGGGGTGCATCATCGGCGGAGGGCACTTGATCCAAATCCGTTCCGTCTCCTGCCGCTGTCGCCCCTGCTGTTAACCCAGCTGCTGACCCTGCTACTGACCCTGCTGCTGACCCAGCAGACCGTGACCCCTTGGCCCCTGCCTGGGAGCATGGTGTATGGGAGTGTGCCTGCCAGGCCCCGATCCACCTCCCAGTGCGCACATGCAGCACGGTGATCGTGCCGTCCGCTGTTCCCACCCACAGCCGCAGCCCCACTACACAGAGACAACACACGCCGGCCTCCATCATGACCTCCTGCAGCTTGCCGCCCGCCCAGTCGTAGTGCCTGAGCGCGCCCGACCCGTGGCCGATCCACACTGTGCCATCGCCAGCTGGCGCCACCGCATGCAGCTTGCGTTTGGGCGGGCGGGACGAGGAGGAGGAGGGGATGGAGGAGGAGGGATAGCCTGAAGAGGAGGAAGAGGGGTACGGGGGTTCATCCTTGGCAGATGGTGGTTTTTCTGCCACTGATGCGTCTCCCTCGCTGCCTGAAACAGCAGAGGCACTGGCGGAACTGGTGGCACTGGCAGCACTGGTGGCACTGGCGGCACTGGTGGCACTGGCGGCACTGGTGGCACTGGTGACTCCAGTAGCACCCCCGCTGACAAGCGCTGAGGTGTTGCCTGATGCCGATCTGCTAGATGCAGGGAGCACCGTACTGCTCGCCCCACTAGCGACAGGTCCCGAGGAGGTATCAGCAGCAGCCTTCTCCTCGTCCTTCACCTTCACGTGGCACACTAGCGCTCGCTGCCTGGCGTCCCTGGAGAGGTCGTGGGAGGGGTAGATGGGAGAATAGGAGGCAGAACGGATGTGGAGAGTTGAAGTGCAGGAGGTGCTGCCCGAGGGATGCCGCCCGAAGGATGCTGCCCGAGGCATGCTGCCCGAGGGATGCCACCCGAGAGATGCACCTTGTTAGTGTGATGCAGGTGAGGGGTTGGATTTGTTGTGCATACCCATGCAGCGTGTGGGTAAAGGGTCAACTGGCCAACGCTGCCTCTGCGTTTTGGTTTGCCAAGTGCCTTAGGGTGCATGTGCTTATCACATGTGAAAACATGTGCTTGCCAGAACATGTGCTCGCCGCCATAACTTGCTCTCTCGAGTACATGGGCTACAACATGTCCTCATTGAAATATGTGTTTGTTGATGGCGTGCTCCTTAAAGCATGTGCTCACCAGGACATGGGTTCACCAAAACATGTGCTCACCAGAATATGGGCTCACCAGATTGAGATAGAAGCAGCCCCGATGCTCCATACTTGCCCCGTTGCTGGATCTGACACCAATCGCCGCACAGATGTCACTCCATACACCACTCCCCCACTGCCACCCTCGTTCTCAGCAGTCGCACCACCTGGAGTGCTGTTAGCAGCGTTAGGGACCCCTCCACCACTCCCCACCAACACAGGAGATACACTTTCACTGCTGTCAGCAGCACCAGCTGCTTCACAAGCAGCAGCAGTTACATCTGAAGCAGCAGCTGACGCAGCAGCAGCCGAAGCAGAACGAGCGGTGGCCCGGGGGCGCGAGCAAGAGGAGGAGGGGGCGTGCAGGAGCACAGGCTCGGCAGTGGGGTGAATCACGCAAGGGGCACGGAGAGGGCCAGAGGTTACAGACATGGCATGTGGTCCGGCTGCTGGGTTGAGGAGAGATGAGGCTCGGGAGAGCTCCTGGTGCAGGCTGGGCCATGGCCATGCCTTGATGACGCCCCTGTCGCCTGCTGACCACAGCTCACCGTAAGACGTGACAACGAGAGCCGTCACGGTGGTGACATGCGCCTGCCACTCAGCCACCAGCTCCACCCATACCTTCCAGCAAGGCTCGTTCTCTCCACCACCCACACATGTCTCCTTGCCCATCCTTGCTCCTCCTCCTCCTCCTCCTCCTTCCGTGCCTGCTCCCCATTCCCCCCTCGCCCATACCTGTCTCCCCTTGCTGCTTGCTGTATCTTCCTCTGTCACGCTCCCTCTCCCATCCCCTCTCTCGCGCACCTGCCACACCAGCACCCTGCCATCCCTGTGCCCTGTGAACACCATCCGCGCCTTGCCATCCACTGCAATGCTCTTGGCTGCAGATACACCTGCCCCAAATGGCACCCAGAATAACGCAGCTGCCTCTTCATCTCCCCTAGGGTTCCCCAGTCCCGAGGCTCCACCTGCCGTCATAACATGCTGGATATCCCACACCCTGATGCCGTCATCTGTAACCAGAAAGGTTACCGAGTCTAGGGTTACCAGCAGGCATGTTCTGCTGGCATGCGGTGTGCCTTGGGGCATGACGGCAGATCGAGGGCGGGGGCGGATTGACAGGGCGATTGGACGGCTGGGATCGACTGGGACACGCACAGGCGGACAGTAAACAACCTTGTCTAGCTTGGAAGAGCGTGGGAATTCACTAGCACTGGATGGAACACTCTGGGTCCGAACAGGGGCAGGCGGAAGGAAGCGCAATCCCCCTGCTGCTCCTGCTGCTCCTCCCCCCATTTCTCCTTTCCCCATATCCTGAGGTACAGTGCCAGAGCCCCCTCGTCTGTCTCTGTGCCTCCCATTCAAGCCTCGCATAAAAGTGAATCCCGCATCACCCCCTCGAGCCGCTCTCCTCCTGTCTGCTGCTCTGGGGATTCTTGACTGCTGCTTCACCACTCCAACCCCTAAGCCCTTCCACATCCCTTCCACTTGCTCGTTCTCTTCCTCGTCAGCGTACTCGAACTCCTCTGCGTCTACTACTTTACCCCCCATGCCTGAGGTCGGTGACAGTGTGGACTTGTGTAGAACAGGTTCAGTCGTGCACCGCTCGAAGACCAGGGGAGGAGAACTAGGGTAAGAGTCAGACGAGCCATCGCTCAGAGGCGAGAGAGGCAGGGGAGGAGACGACTGTCCTGTGGTGTCCTGCTCCCAGTGCGCCTGCTGTTGCTGGTGCTGCCTCTGCTGCCGCTGACGAAGTTGCTGCATCTGCCGCTGCTGCTGCTCCCGCCAGCTACTCGTGCCTGTGGGACTTGCACAGGGAGCAGCCAGGGTAGCTATGTCACCAGACCAAGACGACACGACCGGCCTGCAATGCTCCCCAGTGGCACCACTGCTGCCGTGCAGACTGCCTGCACCGTCACTCGTGCTGCTACTGCTGCTGCGCACGGCACCACCACCACCACCACCACCACCACCACCACCACCAGTGCTACCACTACTCTGGCTGTCAGACCGCCTGTGTGGCTTGGAAAAGAACCTGAATCCCAGCTGGGGAGACCGCGACCGCTGCTGCCGCTCGTTCTCTGAGGCGTCAGATGCTGATTTGGGGTACGTCAGGCACTGCTGCGGCCCTCCGTGTGTGTCACTTGAGCTCAGTGGGCCCAAGGCACAAGTGTGTATAAGCCAGGGCGAGGCTGACTGTGAGGCTGGATTGAGGGAGTGCGGTGGCTTGGCTGACCAGGGAGGAGAGGCGATGGGGCTCGAAGAGGGCGAAAACGGGGTGATGGATGAGACCTGGGGTGAAACACCCTGGCCCAATGATTCAAATGAGCGGATTGCTGGCACCTGATGCTGCTGCTGCCACTGCTGCTGATCCTCATGGGGTTGTGACTGGATGAAGGCTGCTGCATTATCCTGAAATGTCAAGATCTCAGCCTTGCCTGCTGAATGGCGCCTACCCAGTCTTTTCAAAGGCTTCAAGAACCGGAACGGGTCGCTGTTAAGGCTCCCCCCACCTCCTGCTCTCCCAGCACTGACAGCGCTACCACTGTGACCTCTAGCCGCATCTGCACCTGCAGCAACGGGCCGAGCAGCATCAGCAGCGTCAGGACCGGCGCCACTGTTGCCAAGGACAGCAGCAGCAGATCCATCAGCGTCACTGGCAACAGAACCGCCACCAGCACGGCCAGCAGCAGCAGCAGCATCCGCAGTACTGCTCCTCCTGGCCTGTCGAGCGGCGAGAGCATCAGAGGCAATAGCGCCATCTACAGCAGCACCCGCAGTCCCGCTCCTTCTTGCTTCTCGAGGAGCAACAGCAGCAGCAAAGACGGCTTTCTTGCGGCGACCGATGCTGATGGGTCCGCTGTGGTGCAGCCGATGGGGGTGATAAATATCGCCCTTGGTCTCTTGACAGCCGTCGATTGCGTCCACATCAACAGAGATCGGAATCAACGGTCTAGAAAGTAACACGCCGACTCTATCCTGGGAAGCCTCCGGGCTTGCAGAAGAAACGTCTTGGGAAACGTCAGGGGCTTTAACAGGAGTAGTTTCTTTCAAGACGTGAGTGGTTATAGCCACAGCTTCCGAAGGAGTGGCTATGGAGGGGACAGAGGGGAGTTCGGCCGATGGAGATAGGGAGAGTAGGATGCTATCTGAGAGGACAGGATGGAAGGGCGTCTGTCTACCTGACGCCTTCTTGAGTGGGTCTGATGCTGTCGCCACTAATGGACGCTCAGTCACGCCGCCGGATGTGGAACTGAAACCGTCTGATATAACGACTGACTCGTCAGATGCCACGCCGGAATCTGGCGAGGTTGTCAACGCGTGCTCTTTCTCCGGCGAGGTTAACGATGCACCACGGTTACTGAGAACTTCCCTTTCGCGAGTCGGCATGGCTGTCGGCACGGCAGGACACAGCGAAACGACATCACAGTCCTCCTCGTTGGGGAAAAGCTGCTCCTCTGATACAGCAATCGGAGCTGAGCGGAACGGAAGCGGACTACCGAGGTCGTTTGAGCAGTAGACCGAGAAGGAGGGTAAGGCGGCGAGGGTTTGAGACCGGAAGCCCAGTCCGGAAGCTTTTCTGGGGGTCGCCGTTGCACCCAGGTCAGTGGCACCAGGAGGAGAGGCGGCGGTATTGTCAGGAGCCGGAGTGATGCATACGACGTCGCGATGCCTGGCGAAGGTGACTTCGCCGACGCCGCCGAGATTAGGAACGGCGTTGCAGCGTCCGTCACTGCATGACTGGTTCATCCTGAACTGGTCGTGATCCGTCCAGCTTCCGTCACTGAATGATCGGTTCATCCTGAACTGGTCATGATCCGTCCAGCTTCCGTCACTGAAGGCCAGCTTCTGTCACTGAAGGCCAGCTTCCGTTACTGAAGGTCAGCTTCCGCCAGAAAACGTGAGCAAGCGTAACAGGTGCATGAGCCTTAGTGATTATCTGACACCCGACTTATTTTCGGAGGTACATGCTAGAGACATTGTCGGCGTCAATATGATAGTGAAATAAAATTCTACCGGAGTTGTTCGCTTGCGCAAGACATGCCTCCCCATTTTGCTACGACGTGATAGCACTTGCTGACATTTCGTAAGAGAAATGCCTCATCAGGTTGGCTCAGAAACCTTCGGGCTGTCAGGCTAATGCCCATGACTCTTAGAGTTCCTGACACATGCTACTATGGGCGAGGGAGTCACTGACTAGACTAGGCACCTGCTGCATTTCTCCCTAGGGATCATCATTTCGCCGAACTTCTGTTCCCAGAAACGGCTGGGATGATCTCAAGGGAATGGTGCGTTTGAAAACAACGACCAACCTCGGATTCGTTATCAAAGTAACACTTGGCTTTTGCGAGAGAAAAAATGCATACAGACCCTGCATTTCCATATCAAGGACTAGCTCCTGTGCTCTGAACGCAGCTCCTCTCTAATTCATCTGGCAAGTGCTGACTGTGCCTAGCACTTCAAAATGATGCTAATCAAGCGTCTCTCTTCTTCAACTTCTTGGAAGAGCTTCCACCACCATCCCCTTCCACATCTCCTTTGTGCTTTTTCTTCATCTTGGGAGTCTCGCCCTTGTCTTGTACTTCCACCTTATCTGTCGCCTTCTTTTGCTTGCCTTTCTTCTTGGCAGACAGCACTCCTGTTCAAAAAAGAAACGAGAAGAGGAAAAGACGTGCCAGCATTAAGAGGGCAGATGAAGTCACGGAAGTGGTTGGTAAGTGAGCGTGGACACCACTGGTTCGTGTGGCATACATTCATCAAGGGACTGGATTGAGACACGCTTTGACAATTCCAGGTCACCTAAGAAAGACTGATATCCACTTGGATGTCAGGTTGACAGTGCGTGGCTGGGGATTGTTACAGGCCGTTCAGCAGTTGATTGGGAAAGGGTTATGGAAGAGAGAAAAGCTCACCTCCAGGGGGGGCTGAAGCTCACCTTCAGGGGGCGCTGGAGCTCACCTCCAGGGGGCGCTGAAGCTCACCTTCAGGGGGCGCTGGAGCTCACCTCCAGGGGGCGCTGAATCTCACCTTCAGGGGGCGCTGGACCTCACCTCCACGGGGCGCTGAAGCTCACCTTCAGGGGGCGCTGGAGCTCACCTCCACGGGGCGCTGAAGCTCACCTTCAGGGGGCGCTGGAGCTCACCTTCAGGAGGCGCTGGAGCGGGTTCGGGATGCGGCACGGCAGCAGCAGACACACATGTGACCGAGCGAGTGATTGGCCGCACTGCCGAGAACACAATGTACCAGGGCGGGAAGGGTGGGAAGAGAAGCGGATTAGGGGAGGGAAGGGCGGGAGAGGGCAGGGGGTCATAGTCACAAGCACCTGCCTTGCCACGGTGCGCTGTTACACGTGCATACACATGCGTGTGTCCTACCAACGCACATGCATGCGTACACACCTATCGGCGGCCGGCCGTCGCTGCCAGGCAGAATGGCCACTAGGCCCCCCCGGGGCAACGCGTCAGACACGAGAGAGAGCTCCTGGTGGCCGGGACGGGGTGAGAAGGAATGCCGCTTTAAGACGTGTCAATAAGCCAACACAGGCCACGGCCCCACGGGCCTCAGAGACACAAGAAACATTCCCAAGACGAAAATGATAGCCCCGTGACGATGCCCACCCTGAAACATCCCCGCCCATCGCCCCTCCCCCTCCCCCTTCCATCTCCCCTTCCATCTCCCCTTCCATCTCTTCCCCAGGTCCCCGAGAGCCTTACTGTGATTGGTTGGCCTCCCCAAACGAATCCCCTCCCTCCCCCCGCGGCGGTTGCCCCTGGTGGCGCAAACCGGCACATCTCCACCCTCCGCCCATCCCCGTGCGCCCCCGCCGGCACGTGCAGCTGCGCACCGTCGAGCGCGCGGAGGTCCAACTGCGCGGGGTGGAAACGGGAAAGGGGGAACGGAAGTAGAAGAATAAGGGGAAGGGGAAGGGGAAGGGGAAGGGGAAGGGGAAGGGGAAGGGAAAGGGGAAGGGGAAGGGGAAGGGGAAGGGGACGGGGAAGGGGAAGGGGAAGGGGAAGGGAAAGGGGAAGGGGAAGGAAAAAAAGGATGGGAAAGGTCAGGAGGAAGGGGAAGGGAAAATGAAGGGGGGACCAGGGAACGGAGGCAGATGACGGATGTAAAAAAGAACCCAGGATTGTAAGGTAGCAATAGCGGAAACGTCTAAAGAAAGTAGTACTGTTATCAATAACGCGTACACTCTTGGCGTCCGGCATCTGCACGAGCCAAAGCTCCACGTCATCATCCTCGCGACTATCCTCTCCGCTTCGGCCCACGGAACTAAGCAACTCCGCCGCCGCCGCCATAGGCGGGCGAGCGTTGTCCACAAACCCCCGCGACGCGAACTCCCTGGCGAGATCCGTGTGAACTATGGCTCCCGCGGTCGTCATGGCTCCCGCGGTTGTCATGGCTCCCGAGTGCGCCGTGGCTCCCGGCCACACCATCTCCATACCCGCCATGGCGCCTAGAGCGTAAGGTGCTACTTAGAATTTAACTAGCGCGATTGATCCGCAGAGACGCGCGACGCAACACTGCGCGGAACTGGAGCGTGGTAAGGAGACTAGACTCCTCGCCTCACCTATCTTAGACCTAAGCAAATACTGAGCATCCTATGGCCCCTTGCTACGGACTAATCCCTCGACAGGCATAACGGTTCAGGGGAAAGGGTTTCATTCCAGGCAGACTACCAAAGAATGCACATCTCCGATATTGATTGCCCTCTTATCTGACGCTTCTCACATATCGAAGATACATACATGTATCAGGGTAAGGGAGTCTGAAGTGGAACATTGTCATCCCACCCACATCCGTTAGTAAATTAGCTTGGGCTTCCAGCCAAAAGCTGGAAATCAACACCTACCAGCGAAATTATTTCCTACGTTTAGTAGAAGGTTACTAGACGTAACGGTTAAGGTCAATAACGACATCTTTAGCTGGACGGTAAATAAGATCCAGAACCCGCCACATCTGCACAAACCAACCACACAATAGTGAGCAAATACATGGTAAAAAAAAAACAGCACTGAACACCATCACCCGAAGCTACTCACCTGTAGCGTCCCTCCTCCCCTCCTCTTGTTCACATTGCTTGACACACTTGCAAACGTCCAGGGGTCCTTTGGTGCCCACTGAAATTCTATCACTCGGTCCCTAAGCGAAGGAAAACAGGGAGAGGAAACAGACATTTGGGAAGGTTTGGGGGCGAAAAGAGGTGCAAGGGGCAACACAACAGAAGGGAAGGGAGGAACAAAGGCGAGGAACAAGGTCAAGCAAGCGCTCACTGGTGGCCCACGAGTTGGAAGAGAAGCGCTGGCAGCACTCTCGCCAGCTCAAAAAGTAAGGAGAAAATGCGGGAGTGGAAGAATGAGGGGGAGAGGGGGGTGCAATCCCCCCAGGCACTCACTGGTGGCCCACATGCTGGAATAGCAACCCTGGCGGCACACCGTCAGCCCGAGACGACTTGACTGCCTCCACGTGCAGCTGAGGGGGGCGGGGCGGGCGGATGGAAAGCAGGGAGCGGGCAAGCGGGGGGGAAAGGGTGGTCCGATGCACAGTCGGGTGGTGACGTGATGGCAGTGACAGAGCTCTGAACACACCTGCTTGCAGATTGCCCAACACTACACGCTCTTGCGAGTCTCACCAGGGAGCAGTCCCAGATGTTGACGAGGCCGTCCTCTGCACAGCTGGCGAACACAGAGGGGCTGTCGGGGCACCACTGCACGGACAGCACTGCTGCTCTATGCCCTCCCCGGAACACATGCGCTGCCTTCGCCTTCCCCCTCCCCTCCACACCCCCACCACCCTCCCCCTCCGCCCTCCCCAACGGCCCGCCCCCCAGCTTCCGCACGTCAAACAGTCTCACACTCTTATCCGCACCCCCCGTCACTACCAGGTGCTCGTTCCGCGTGTTCCAGTCCACGCAGTGCACGTCAGCATCGTGCGCCTTGTCCACCCGCTGGCATGGGCCCTTCTCCCCGCCCGTCCTGGCGTCCCACAACAGCAGCTTCCCGTCGTCGCCCACGGAGCAGAACTGCTGCGAGTGCGAGGGGTGGAAGCACACGTCCTCCACGGTCGCTGTGTGCCCCTTGAACACCCCGCGGGGCGCCAGGCTGGAGGACTTGGGGGCTTCTCCCAGCTTGATTGGGGGGGAGGGGGAGCGCCGGGGTGCTGCAGCAGGCTTCCCTGCAGTATGGGCGTCTGTGTCCGCATCATCTTTAGCAGCAGCACCACCGCCACCACCAGCAGTTGCGTCGTCGATAACCATTCCTGTTGGTGGTGTCTCGTCAGTCTTCTTCTCTTCCTTGGTTGCCTTGACGTCCTTGTTATCAGTCTCCTCACCTTCCTTGGCCACCTTCTCCGGCTTGTCATCCTTGCTCCCACCGTCAGCTTCTCCCCCCCGTGCGTTATCCTTCCCTGCATGATCATTCTCCTTCCCTCCCCCACCCTCTACTCCCCCTGCTGTATCCACCTCCATGCCTTCACTCTCTTTTGCCGCCTCGGCAGGTTTGTCCGCGTCTGCAGCAGCAGGGTCAGGAGTGTCAGCATCACCATCGCCCCCTTTCTTTCCTGCTTCACCCTCTTTCCCCTCCTCCTCACTCCCTGCCTCTTCCTCTTTCCCCCCGTCCTCCTCCTTCTCTGCCTTCTCCTTCGCTGTCTCCTGCTCTTCCCCTGCTTCACCTTGCTTTCCTTCCTCCAATCCCTTTCCTTCCTCATTCTTCACTGCCTCCTCCTTTGTATTAGCACCAGTTACAGAAGGAGCATCCCCGTTATCAGCAACACCATTAGTACCAACCGCATCCTTAGCAGCATCAGCATCAGATGCAGCAGCGTCAGCTGTAGCAGCGTCAAGAGCTGTAGCACCACCAGCATCAGCTGTTGCAGCAGCGTCAGCTGTAGCAGCGGCATCAGCTGTAGCACCACCAGCATCAGCTGTAGCAGCAGCGTCAGCTGTAGCGGCAGCATCTGGTGTATCGGCAGCGTCTGCTGTAGCGGCAGCATCAGCTGAAGCAGCAGCATCAGCTGTAGCGGCAGCATCAGCTGTAGAAGCACCAGCATCAGTCATCTCCACATCGCCCTCTGTCCCCTTGGGTTGTACCTTTGGTTCATCTCCAGCCCCTTCCCCCTCCTTCGCCTCTGCCCCCTCTTTTGTCTCTACTTCCGCTTTTGCTTCTATCCCCTCTTTTGCCTCTGTCCCCTCTCTTGAGTCAGCCCCTTCTTGTGTTTCTGCCTCCTCATTCAACGTTTCCCCCTTACTGCCCATCCCGTCACCCTCCTCTTTCTTCTCTTCCTCCTCTGCAGCCTTTCCCTCTTCCTCGGGGACCTTCTCCTCCTCACCCTTCACCTCCCTCGACTCCGCCCCTTCCTTCACTTTCTCATCCTCCCCCTTCTCTTTCCCCTCCCCTTCCTTCTCTTCCTCCCCGCCGTCTTTCACCTTTCCCTCCCCGTCCTTCCCCGTTCCATTCTCGCCCTCGTCCGCTTTAACCTCTACATCCTTCCCATCCCCTCCGCCCTCCTCCTTCTCCCCCTCCTTTTTCTCCTCCCTCTTCGCCTCACCCTCCTCCTCCCGCTTCCGTTTCTTCTCTGCCTCCCCTGCTGCACTTCCCCCATCCCCGCCCCCTCCCCCCCCCCTCCCCCCGCTACGAGCAGGGGAGTCAGCGCGGGCGCGAGAGGAAGGGGGGGGCGAGGAGGCACGGCGGGAAGCCAAGGAGGGGGGAGCAGTTGGCTTAGCCTTTGCCTTGGAGGAGGGGTGGGGCTTGCGGAGGGCAGCAGAAGACTGCAAGTGACGGGGAAGGGAAGGACAAGGACGAGGGGTGGGGCGTCCAGACGACGAGGAAAGGTGCAGGCACAAGGGAAAGGGAAGGAGGAAGGGTGCACAGGCCCAGAGTTGGGATGGGCTAAGCAGAGAGCAGCAGCGGAGTTGGTCTGGATAGGAATGGGGGTTTATCACAGGGAATATCACGCATGGGCTGGGCCCATGACAGAGGAAGGAATATGAGTGATGCATGAAGCTGCGTGGTTGGTAGCTCAGGGCTCGCCTGCAGCGGTGCAACATGGTCGGCAACATTCCACAGCAGCACAGCCCGCTCTGGTCCTTCCCGCCATTGATCACTCAGGCGCCAGAATACATTGGCATTTCACAGGGCTACCAGAATCCAGGCTGCCTACCTGCAGCGACGTGACATGGTCAGCAACGTTCCACAGCAGCACGTTCTGGTCCTTCCCACCGCTGATCACTCAGGCGCCACATTACACTGGCATTTCACCTGGTCCCCAGAATACTGGTAGCTCACCTGCAGCGATGTGGCATGGCCTGGTGGCTCACCTGCAGCGATGTGACATGGTCGGCAACGTTCCACAGCAACACGTTCTGGTCCTTCCCACCGCTGATGACTAGGGGAGCAACGGGGCTCGTTGCCATGGCGAACTCTGCATCGTCTGTGTGGCCCACCAGGATCTGTCAGTGGAGGGAAGACGAAGAAGGGAGGGGGGGGTGGGGGATCAGGCTTTTGCTCAAAGAAATGCGAGGGGGACGAGAAAAGGGGAGGAAGGCAGGGAGAAAGAGCCAAATACAAGGCCGGGGGTTGAGGTGGGCGTGTTGAAAAGAGGGCGTGCAGAAGGGGTGTCACTCCATGTGCCACATGAGCACGTCGGGACTGTCGGTGTGCCAGGGCGAGTCAAGTGAAGCTGATGCATCTGTGCCTCTGTGCTTCTACCCCAGTGATTGGCCGGCTCACACCGAGGGGCACCTACCAGGTCCGGGGTTGAGGTGGGCGTGTTGAAGGAGGGCGTGCAGAAGGGGTGTCGCTCCACGTGCCACATGAGCACGTCGGGGCTGTCGGTGTGAGTGAAGACGATGTTGCGGTTCTGCACCAGCTCCCGAATGCGGTTCACCTCCCCTGGATGCACAATCGTCTTGAACTTGCGCACAAAGGGCGACCGCCGGTCGTACTTGAACTGAGAGAGGGGGGCGGTGGAGGAGGGAGTAGGGGGGAAGGAATGGGAGATGGGAGGATGCAACAGTAATGATATGGAAGCTTTGGTTCTGCACCAGCTCTCAGATGCGGTTCACCTCCCAGGGATGCACGATGGTCTTGAACTTGTGCACGAAGGGCGAGCAGTGATCTTACTTGAACTGGCAGGGACAGGGACAGGGACAGGGACAGGGACAGGGACAGGGACAGGCAGGAAAGCGAAGGGGGAAGGTAGTGCTGTGAGTTGACTGGGGGGCACCTTGTGCGCAACGGGCAAGCGCCGGTCGTACTTAAACTGGGATCAGTGGAGGAGGGGGAGGGGGGGAGAGGACTTTGCTGAATTGGCTCAGAAGAGATCAGTGCACAAAGGGCGAGCGCCAGTCGGACTTGGAACAGCGTTCAACGGGAGCATAAAAACCGTGTGTGACCAAAGCACTACCTCCCACCCATCATTGCATACCCGGCAGATGTCTCTTGGGGCGGCGACACGTGGCTTGACCACATAGGCGTTGGAGACCACCAGAGTGTTGGGCACTGTGCCGTCCGTCTGATGGGGGTTAAGGGGCAGCGCCAGCGGCACCAGACAGCACGAGATGGGAGACAGCGACCGAGGCAGCACAAGACGTATTAGCAGCGGTAACAGATGACCACACGGGCGTTGGACACCACCGGAGTGTTGGGTACTGTGCCTTCCGTCCGCATGGGAGTTAAGAGGCAGCGGCAGGGATAGAGACACCACCATGAGATGGGGAGGCAGACAGAGATGCGAATGGCCACAAGGGCGTCAGAGACGATAGGAGGGCTGCGTACTGTGTCTTCCGCCTGCTTGGAGAAGGTCCACAGTGTAGTAAGTGGAGCCCTGAAAAAGGCGTACTTGCTCGGATAGGTAGAGCCGTACCTGCTCGGATAGGTAGAGCCGTCGCTTGTACTTGTGCTTCCGGTCCTCCACGAGCGGACCCCACCTGCCGGCACACGTTCACACGCACGTGAGAAACGCAAGCGCGGAGGGACTCGGGAGAGGCAAACACCTTTCCATCGACTCGAATGTGACTCAAAAGTTCCGTGCGACGTTGTTATGACATGACGATGTTTGACTCAAGCTCAAACGCGTTCCACCAACCAAAGGACCCCACCAACCAATGGACTCCACCAACCAATGGACCCCACCACCTGATATAAGACGTGTGCATGCAAGACATGGAGATGCAGACATGGAGATGCAGACAGGCACCACGAGCAGTGAGGCAGGGACAACTAGGAAGACTCGATGAACAAACGCCGAAAAATGAAGAAGAGACTACCAGGTATTTTCGTTAAAAAGTTAACAATAGTAGGCGTAGCCATTACAGAATGTTGGACCCCGACACAAGGTTATTCCGTTGTCGGTTAATGATAAGGGCTATTTTTTTAGCGCTCTGGTTCGGTCCGAACCTGCACGAGAGGGACGGCCAGACGAGGTGGTGGTTGGCGAACCAGTCGTAGAGCAGCGGCATGTTCCGCTTCCACTTGCGCCGATCCTCCCCCTCCTCCTCGTCGCTCGACTCCTCATCGTCCCACGGATCCTCCTCCCCCCGCCGCTCCTCCTCCTCCTCCTCGCGCTTTCCCACGCGACGCTCATCCGGACCCATCACGCGACGGAAAAACACGGACTGGTGGTAAGGAACGGAACTTAGGTTAGAAGATAACTGCTGAAAACCGACCTAGATATTGCTGGCCGGACCTAAGCCAGCGCCTGACCAGGAAAGATGCTGACAAGAGTATCAGGCGATTTGAATTGAGAAATTGTTGGCTCGGCAATTCCTAAGAAAGGGTATACTCGATACACGCTGACAGAGTTCGCTGAACCTTTTATACCGTGAACTTTATTGCTACAGTCTCAGAGTTCTCAGTCTTCCATGACACATTGTAATTAAGATAAGAGCTAGGGTAAAACATTGCATCTCCAGCACAAATCATGGGGAAAGAGTCGATGCAACATCAGGGCTCGTGGTTTTGGCAGCAGTTGGTCTCTTGGCAACCGACTCGGGCGTTGGAGCACCAGTGGCTTCAGCATACTTGTCCTCCAACTCCTGCAACAAATAACGATGAGACAGATTTAATCCAGGCATATCACCATGCTGCACACAGCAATAATAAGAACTTCCCGGTTCTGTTACGGTACGTACAATAAGCTTGCTGCGGATAGTGTCAAGAACTTCTGGAGTCATTCGGTCAAAATAAAGGGTCCCCTGCAACCAACAAAAGGCATCATACTTAGCACAACCAGGCCAACCCAAAATGATATTGCGAAAAAAGCAGGCAAAATCCTTGAACTCAAAGGCTCATAGGATAGGACTTACCTCCAAGTGGTCATATTCATGTTGGAATATGCGCGCCTGCCACTCCTTGAGGCTGATAGAGAATTTCCGACCGTTGATATCCTGAGCATCCACCTTCACACCCACTGGCCGCTGCAAATGACAAAAAAATGGAGCATAAGAGAACATGTGAGAGCATTCAGGTCCCACAAGCAGCAGAATGGATGCCATGGGGAGATATCAACTCCACTTCAGTCTAACTTTGCGAACCAACACACCTACCTCGACATCGGCGTAAATCATAGGGAAGGAGAGGCAGCCCTCCTCGATGACATCCCGCGCCTTGGCGTACTTGACAATGCGCGGATTCACAAGCACCATCTCCACGCCCTTGCCCCTCTCCCCCACTGGATTGAACACCATGAGCCGCACGTTCACCCCCACCTGCGGCGCTGCCAGCCCCACGCCATCCGTCCTGAGGTGGCACAGACACGTGACGTGAGGGAGAGTGACAGGAAGAGAGGGGGGGGGATGGGCTTGAGTGGCGCCTCTCGTGAGGGAGAGAGGGGAGATGGGTGACGGTAGGGGAGGGGAGGGGGGGTTGAGTGGGCTTGAGTGGCGCCTCTCCTCTCCCCCACTGGATTGAACACCATCTGCCGCACGTTCAACCCCACCTGCGGTGGTGACAGCCGTACGCCATCCGTCCTGAGAAAGCACACAAGGTTGTGCGGGGCGGCAGGGAGAGAAAATAAGGAGTTTGTGGGGTGGCCTAGTGGCCCCAGACCACAAAAGGATGAGCGCCAAGCCAACAGACGCAGCGCAGATTAACCCTCGCCTGAGGAGTCGACAACCACTTCGCCCCGAGAAGCACGCAAACCATGGGGTTCCGAGGGGAACAGGGGGAAAGGGTAAAGAGATTGAGCAACCCAAAAGACCCCTCCCTCCCCCACTGCATTGAACACCCACCTGTACCATGAAACCACACACATCGAACTCACCTGCACATGATGTCGAGCACCTCCGCCACCAGCGTCTGCAGCGACTCATCGACGACTTTGCTCCTTCTCCTCACCCCACCTGTTGCATCACAAGATGATTCCCCTTCACGCACTCCGCATCAGCCCCACCTGTACATGATGTCGAGCATCTCCGCCACCAGCTTCTGCAGCGACTCACAAAAAACACCATTTCTTCTCCTCATCTGCTGCATGGCAAGATGATCCACCTGCACACGCACACTCCGCATCAGCCCCACCTGTACATGATGTCGAGCATCTCCGCCACCAGCTTCTGCAGCGACTCATCAAAGACATTCACCCGCTTGTTGGGCGCTCGCAGGCGCGGGTCCGGGTACAGAACTATGTCCAGAGGGGACTCGAATGTAATGGGTCCCGCTGCAGAGGTGAAACGGAGGATTGGCGTGGGGGGAAAGGGGGGGGGAGTGGGTTGGGGAAGGGGGAGGGTTTTGGGGGGCGGGGGGCTGACGGAAGGATGGGGATTGCGTGTAAATGATTGAGAACTAGTGCCCATGTGAGCAGAAATTCACTCCGTAATATGACCAGTGGGCAGCACAACTGGGGTCATATGAGCGGAGTCTTGAGAGAGACAGAGCAGCTTTGAGCGGCGTGTTGGTTGTCTTAAGAGAGATGGTTGCTCCTCCAAGAGAGGGGGATGCGGGAACGAGGGAGCAAGGGCAGCACAGGAGCAAGGGCAGCACATGAGCACGGGCAGCATATGAGCACGGGCAGCATATGAGCACGGGCAGCATATGAGCACGGGCAGCATATGAGCACGGGCAGCATATGAGCACGGGCAGCATATGAGCACGGGCAGCATATGAGCACGGGCAGCACATGAGCACGGGCAGCACATGAGCACCACAGCACAGCAGCAGGAGGAGCGGGCATGGGGGGTGGGGGGGTGGGGGGAGGGGGGCACTGACCGACGTTCTCCTCGTCTTTGATGGACTGCAGCTCCGAGAGGAAGCCCCTGCGAGCCCTGGTAACGTGCAGAGGGGTGTTGGCTGACGGCGGGAGGGAGGGGATGGGCACGAGTGAGAGGGTGAGAGGGTGAGAGGGTGAGGGGGAGGAACAGGGGGAACTGAAACACGAAATCGAGGCGCTTTTGAGTCAAGACAGGTTATTCGGACGCAGGTAGGGTAAGGCCTCGGAAACCTACACGCAGGAGTCTGAATGATGGGACGATGGGGAGAACCGAACAGGGGAAGCCGTGAATTCGCTCCCGCTTCGTGCGATCTGGAGCTGGTTGATGTCTCTGACGCCTCGCACCGCGTTGCGTGCGGCTTTAAGGAGCTTCGATCATTCCGTGCGGTACAGGAGGGTAATCTGCCGTTGAGGAGATTATTCTTCGTCGCTCCCCGTCGCAACTGATGACCCAATCGGAGCCTGCCACGTGGAGGAGTGAACGACGATACAGGGGTGTGCGAGAAGAGCGCGATGGGACGAGCGAATCTAACTTGTTTCTGCTATACCGAAGAGGAAACGGAAGCAGGAACGTACCCGGAGAAACTCCTTAGGAGAGGACCCCGACAGCAAAGAGAATTAGCCATCGATTCCTACGCCGGTGAAAGAGGAATGGCGGTGTGCTTCTGGCGGCAACTAGTTACACCGTCACTCGTCAGGAGCGCAACGAGTCAAGCCTGGGGAAGTAGCAGCCACCGGAATGAGCGATGACCCTGAAGTAGAAGGTTAGTCCAGGTTCAGATTTGACCTAGAAGTGGAGCACTAATGGTGAGAACGAATGAAGTTGTGTATGATTCCGTAAGCGTAAAAATTTGTGAAACTACACCTTGCTTCCAAGTGCTTTGTTCCGAATAATATTGGAGCACACTCAACGAGTACATCGGCACCACACACTTGAATTTCCAAGTGCATCCTCTCCCAGATCTGAAATGTCCATCGCATCTTTCGGCCTCCTTCCAGCCAATCCTCGCTCGTTCCGTACTTCACGCTAGAATTTTCAGCTGCACTCCGAGCCCATCACATCACAGGACCCGAATCGCGATGTGCTCGATCACATCAAAGTTGTCACGACGACTCGAAATGTTCCTCCGCTGAATGTGTTTCAGCACAAAAAACACCGCTGGGCCTCTGCATCCTGCCTTGCACACATCACTGAATCCTTTCATCGCACTGGGCAGACTCGCGGTTTTCGTTCCACTGACGCAATTATTCTGGCAATTACCTACCATATCTGTACTTCAAAATTCCATTTCTTCTAGGTGCTCCTTCTGGATATCTCAGCGCCAGTACGATCGTCTCGAAACGGCATGGCCCCATGGCTAGTACTAGCGGTGCACACTCCACCCAGCCTGCATGCAGCCCCTCTACAGCCAAAAGGAGCACGCCTCGTCGACAAAAGAATCTTCATCCCGCGAAAATTTTCTTTCTCAGATGAACGCCGCTGGATCAGTCCAGCAGAACAGAGAGACTCGGGAATTCCTGCAGCTGTGGCATCGCAGCCCCATGCTAGTAACGTGACTGTGCCAGGAGAACCAGTAGAGATCGAGCCAATCACCCCAAGATTCGATGGATGCCGCCGACGCCTGCACCAAGTCTCTCAGACGCCTCCTTCGGACCAAGAAACGCTCGTTATAGGCAGCGGAAGCAACGGAAGCAGCAACAGGAGCAGCCATGGGAGCAACGGGAGGAGCAGCAGGAGCAGCCATGGGAGCAACGGGAGCAGCGGGAGCAGCGCCAATGCTTGGCATTTGGAAGGGGCTGCTGGGTTGTTCCCTGCAGACGCGTGGGACCTGGACGAGGCTGCTGCTACCGGCGCCCAGGTGCGAGTCTTCGGGCCTGCTGCAATGGTCACCAGAGGCGTAACCCCCGCAGGAGGCATGCCTTCCGGAGCCATGGTGTCCCGGGATTTACCGGGAGAGATCACTTGGAGAGGCATGCCGCTGACACATGATGATGTTACCTGGAGTGCAGGCCCAGACCTGTCTTTCCGTTCGCCTGAAGCTATGCAAGAGTATGGTGACGGATGTACTAGTGCAACGCGTGCAGCAAAGTTCCCAGTGGAGAGCAACTCATTGCTGGGAAAGTTGCTTCTGCAGTGCAGTACCGGGAGGCACGTGGTGCAGAGAGGGGAATGGGCGGCAAGGATAGCTCGCAGGTATGGAGTCACACTGACCGACCTCTCCAGAGCCAACCCGAGCCTGAGGCTCGGGAAGCTGGTTCCAGGCCAAACCATCAACCTCCCTGCTACAGCCAGACCCACTGGAGATCTCTCCACAGCATTGTGTGCATGTGTGCAATCGATGCATCAAGCCTTCACTATTATGAGGTCACTTGTTATTACCGTGTTAAACTGGATACAGCATGAGCAGCAACAGCTGTGGTGGCGGTGGCAGGAGCAACGCCAGCATCAGAGGTGGCAGCAGCAGGGGCAGCAGAAGCAAGTGCAAGAGTACGTGAAGCGGGTGATGCATGATGACTTTATCGAGGATGACGAATCAGCAGACGAGGAGGAAGAGGCTCTATGCGAATGGCCTGACGCTGAGACAAACAGCCACGAAGACAGTGTGCAGCAGGCGCATGAAGAGTACAGGAAGGAGGGAGCTGAGAAGGCGGGGGGAGAAGCAGAGGCAGGGTGGAAGGGGTATGGAAGAGAGGGGGGGAAGGAGCACGCCATGAGGCCGTTTGCCAGCCGCACTCAGCTGCTGATGGAGCGATGGATCCAGGGGAGGTCTGTGCAGCAATGGGTGAGCTCTGTTTCTCCTATGCCCACCTCACCACCATCACCATCGCCATCATCACCATGGCAAGTGATTGGCAAAGTGAGCCTGCACACACACCTGCTCCTCCTCCCTGCCTCCCTGCTAGTCGGTGTTGGAATCCTGACTCTTCGGAGACAACACAGGGCCAGCATCAGGAAGTGACAGTGGTAGAGGCAATTTTGCTGGGTACTAGATAGCTAGCTAGTTCTTAGCCCTGTGCCTGCCAGTTTATTCATAGCCACCACTGGACTGGACTGGGACTGGATTGACCCTTCAGGTTGAAGCTGTTACTCCGAAGAAAGCGCCAAAGACGGCTACAGTCTTCACCTGCAGATACACCGGCCACAGATGCTTTTTAGGTAGTATCTGTATGGCTCTGTAACAGCTAGCACTTCGTACCAGATGTTTCCTGCTGTTGAGATGAGATCCAAGCAGAACTTCTCAGGCAGCTTCACCCAGGGGGATGCTGCTGATGTACGGTGAGAACATGTAACGTGCTGGCATTGATTACAATCATGCACATAACATGGCACCAATGGAATGGACTAGAGAAAGCCGCCCATATTGGATGAGACCACAATCCGAAACAGATTTGCGAAGCCACCAGCCAATCGCAGACAGCTGCTGAAGCTAATATCTGCCATGCTCTTGCGGTTGAATCAGCCGATCCAAAACGTAGCGTCGGGCAAACCCGGATTAACGCAGCCGCCGGGCCTCGCGCTCAGACTCCATGAGGGTGAGAATGTCACCTGGGGTGGTGATGGGTGGTGATGGGTGGTGATGGGTGGTGATGGGTGGTGATGGGTGGTGGTGGGTGGTGATGGGTGGTGATGGGTGGTGATGGGTGGTGGTGGGTGGTGATGGGTGGTGGTGGGTGGTGATGGGTGGTGATGGGTGGGAGGGATGGGAAGGCAATAAGGAAAAGGTGTGAGGACGACGCAATCTCCGGATCACCTGATAACTACCTGCCGCACAATCCTGTTGCTGACACTAACGCCCTAAAAGACTAACATTTGAGTCGACTCAAAAGCTATCGCTCGCGCAGCCCTGTTGTCCAGACAACGTCCTCACAGACTGTTCCATGGAGGGTGGGACTGCTCCAGCAGCGACCCTCAACTATCCCCGACCAGGCGAAGCCATTCTTGAGGCGCCTCTAAAATTTGTTCCATGGGAGGGTGGGACTGGTCTAGCAGCGACCCTGCACCAACCCCAACCAGGCGAAGCCATTCCTGAATGGTCGGATGCCCTGGGCAACAAAGGAATGCACTGTACAGGAAAGGTGCGTACTTAGCTACAGGTGCAGAGAGCTCGTCTAGCCCGCCGCGTAAGACTCCTTCTCTAAGTCGAAGCCGAAAGGACCTAGCTACCCTCAATCTTCCAGGCCTCGATCGATCTGACTGTCAAACGGTTTCCTGAATCTCGCACGCCTCCATCCCCCACTCGACGGCAGTATCTGATTTGCGTGCTGCTGCGGGCTAAGGGGCCTTGTTCGCCCGAACTACAACGCTAAGCGGTGATTAAAGACTTATGGAGCGACTACCTCGCTAGCAGACGACGACGACACAAAACTGATCGCAGCGCGGCAAACCCTGGATGTTGTTCGATGAAGACTATAGGAACAACGTGAGGACGAAGGGCGGCCAATGCTAGCTATGGTGGAATAATCCGCAACAGGGTCTAGGAACATGTCACGTTTTAATTCCCTGTCTCTCACCTTGGCGCAATCCCCTCACCTTGGCGCACGTCTCACCTTGACGTTCCTCCTGATGTAGCGGTCCTCGTCGAGGAACTTCGCGCGCACCCTGCAGCACATGTTATACAGACACAAGCCCCAGGCACTCCCCTCATTCCCCTCACCTTGGCGCAACCCCCTTACCTTGGCGCAATCCCCTCACCTTGGCGCACGTCTCACCTTGGCGCACGGGGCCCTTGACGTTCCTCATGATGTAGCGGTCCTCGTCGAGGAACTTCACGCGCACCTGCGTCACCTGGCCTCGCGACCCCGTGCGACCCACAACCTTCTCCACTATCGCCAGCTTCATCGGGGAGTCCTGCACGACAACGGCGAAAACGCATTCACGAAATGAGTGTTAGGGTAAGGTAACTGGTGGGAACCCACCACCTTCTCCACTATCGCCAGCTTCATCGGGGAATCCTGCACACGACGGTCGCGAAAGACACGAAATGTGTAGTGTGGTAACCCTAGCGCCGATCACTCCTTCTCCACTAACGCCTGCTTGTATCAGAAGATTTCGAAACCGATCCGTCGCGAGCGTGTGCAGCGACCGAGGCGACTTTGAATCGACTCTTAAGTCAGCGTGAGAGCGTGCCGTGACTACCGCGACGGAACAGGGAATGGCCGCCCGTAAAGCCATCTTACTGCGAAATACAATTAGTCGCACGAGAAGCATACACAGCGGCAAAAGGCGCGCGTTGACACGCCGATCATACGGGTCACGACGCGTATTAAATTTACGTCATCATAAGGCTCGCGGCTGTCACTAGTTACTACGGTCAGCCACGCATCTGCCCGACAGCTTACAATGGCAAGAAGCCTGAATTACATAACTCCTTCCTAAATCTCACTACTCCACCAAACCTTCCCTGGAACAAAGTACCTAACCTGGACACTAATCGTCCCAAAAAACGACTAGCGACAGCGACGCGGGCTCACCATGTTGACAGGAAGCGTTAAGACGCGGTTTAAGAGGCGACGCCGGCAAGGGCGGGCGGCAGACGAGGTCTAGGGAGAGGAAGATTAGAGAGTACTGCAGGAAGGGAAAAGGAAAATGAGGTAAGTGCGGAGCCATGATGAAACCCTAGGCGCTCCCCCACCCTCCCCTCCTTCTCTCTCTCGCTCCGCCCGCTGCCGCATTTGCGCTGCTCCCTAGGCTGAAATGCGCGGAAAGAGGGCGTCGGGGGGGAGGGGACCAGGGGTTTTGCGGAAGGTTCCGCGGGGCTGGTCGCACGACACGTCACAATCGAGGCTGAGCTGTTTCTCCCGCTGATCTGGCTGTGGTGGAGCACTGAGCTTGGGGTGGGTGCTCAGTAATAACTGAGATATATCAGCACAAACTGTAGCTGACTAAATCCAACCATATATGACAATTATCCTAACAAATCGCTGAAATTGCTGTACGGTAATTGCCAGGGTGGGCTTTAGAATAAAACGGGTAATTTCTTCGCAAGAAAACATTGAGACTTTCACATGAAAACAGTGCAGGCACAGCACACAAGTCCACTTGTTATGCTTCCCTAAAGGTAAAGCACAACACATTATGCCTGACAGAGTCGACTTATGAATCGACCAGTATAGTTAGTTATTTATCATTCAACATCAGTCAGTTCAAAATGCCCTACCCAATCACGCTTACCCATTATTAACAAGCCCTAATCTAGCGATTGCACAACCCAGGTAATTGGGATGTGTCGCTCTAACCTAAACCCCCTTCTTTTCCCCCTCATCGACGCCTTCCATTTCAACATCTACTGTCCTTTCACCTGCTTGCGTGTGACTCTGTCTTCTCACTTCCACTACCCCCACCAACACTGCCCTCAGCATTCTGGCCCTTGGCACCCTCCTTTGCTGCCTCCTTTCCACCCTCGCCTGCTGCTGCTTCCTCTGCACTCTCCTCTGCTGCTGCCCCCTTTGGTGCTGCATCCTCATCAGCTGCTGTGCCAGTTACGAAGCCCCCCAAAACTGGATCCGTGCCCACAGCACCATCTCCTCCCACAGCTTCCCCGGCCTCCTCTGCTTTGCCCAGAGCGTTCTCAGCACCCCTAGAGACAGCAAGAGGTTCACAACCACCCACAGGTCCATCAACAGCTGAAGGCGTAGCAGAAGCAACCACAGCAGGAAGGTCGTTCGCCCTCCGTACCTCCTCCATTTCTGCCTTCCCATCTGCACCTTCAGCACCTTCAGCGGTTTCTTCCACACCATTAATTCCTGTCATGCAATCTCCATCTTCCTGCCCTAGAAGCTCACTGCCGCCCGGATCCTCTTGCTTCTCCTGCTCAGTTGCTGCTGATGCTGCTCCATCTCCATCTGCCACTGCCTCTGCTGTTCCATCCCTTTCCGTCACTGCCATCACTGCTTCTTCTCCCTCTGCTGCTGCGGCTCCTGCTTCTTGGGGGACCTCAGCCCCTGCTGCTGCTGGAATGCCAGCATCACCAGCTGCAACCTGCAAAGCCTTTCCTTGCTCCTCAGCTTCCTCCGCTGTTGGGTGCGTTGGCTCATCTGCAGCAGCTGACTCATCGGCAGTGGCTACTGCGTCCGTTGCCTTGGTCTCGATTTCAACCTCCTCTGGTTGCCCTTCACCTGCCCCTTCACCTGGCCCTTCTAATGCAACCTCCTGCCCCTGCCTCGCCTCACCAGTCTCAGCATCCCCTTGCCCGCCCCCCTGAGCCTCCCTCATTGGCTGCTCCTCTCCGCCAACCCCTGGGGAACCCTCAACCCCTGGGGCACCCTCAACCCCTGGGGCACTCTCCTGCCCTCCCCCCTCCTCTCCTCCTCCCTCCTTTGCTCCCTCCCCTCCTCCACCTTCCTCTCCTGTTCGCTCTCCTGCCTCCTCATTCTTCTGCTGCTCAAACCGCTCCAGCTGCTGCTGCTCTTCCTGCTGCTGCTCGTGCTGCTTCTCCCTCCCCTCCTCCTCCTGCTCCTCCCTTTGCTTCTCCTCCTGTTGCTGCTCCGCCTGCTGCTGCTGCTCCGCCTGCTGCTGCTGCTCCGCCTGCTGCTGCTGCTCCGCCTGCTGCTGCTGCTCCAACTGCTGCCCCTGCTGCTGCTCCCTCCCCCCCTCCCCCTGCTCCTCCCCTCGCCTCTCCTCGTGCTGCTGCTCCAGCGGCACGACACCCTCCTCCTGATCAACCTGCATCAGGCGCTCATCCACCGCTTCTCCTCCCTGCTGCTCCATCCCCTGCTGCTCCCCTCCCTGCTGCACCGCTTCTGCTGCTTGCATTACCCCATCCAGAACCCCTGCCCCTGTCTCTGTCCCCGTCCCGTCCGCCATCTCCTCTGCAATCCCTTCTTGCTCTGCCCCCAACCTCTGATCAACCCCCATTGGGAGAGCTACACTGTGCTCAGGCTCCAATCCCACACTACCCTCAACGCCTCCCTCGCCCCCCACCCCTCCGCCTCCCCCAATCCCCTCCCCCCCATCCCTTCCCCCAGCCCCGGTTCCTCCCCGCCTGTCAGCAGCTGCAGGTGCTGCTCGTCTTCCAGACCTTGCACCGGACCTGCAAACTCAGGCTCAGGCTCCTGAACCTGAAGCACAAGCTCGGCAGCAAGCTCAGGCGCAGGCTTGGGTACAGCTTCGGGAGGAGCTTCGGGAGCAGGCAGTGGTGCAGGCTCGGGCTTCCCAGGTAGGTATGGAGCAGTGACAAAGGCGGAGAGAGGAGCAGGGGGGGGAGCAGAGGGAGGGGTGGGGGCAGTGAGGGGAGCAGAGGGAGGGGAGGAGGGAAGGGCGGAGTGGGGATGGGCAGAGGGCGGAAGTGCAGAGGGAGGCACGGCAGAGGGGGGAACGGCAGAAAGGTCGTGTGGCGGTGGTGCAGCAGGAGTGTTGGCTGGTGGTACTGGGGTGAGCTGGTACTTGTGCATTGGAGTGTAGGTTGCTGGAGGGAACGCTGCTGCTTCTGCTGATGGGTCTATGCCTGACTCTTGCAGCTGATTGGGTGAGGGGGGCAGGGCACAGGAGCGGAACAGGAAACCAAAGGGACGGAGACGTGAGGGGGGAACGGAGGTCACAAACAACAAGGCGAGACCGGTCAAAGGGCGAATGCAAAGCAACACTAGAATGGCTCCGCTGGTGGCACGTCAGCCATGCAAAGCGAGGGGAGAATTGGGGAGAGAAGGACGGGAGGGGAAGTAGACGAAGGCAAGAGGTGACTGGCAGTGGAAGGAAGGGGAGGGCAGCGGACCATGGTTCTGAGCTGGGCGTTCTGGGCGCACAGGGCGGTGTAGCGCTCCTGCAGCTTTGATAGCTCCTGCAGACAGACACAAGGCAAGGGGGGAAGGGAAGAAGGGGGAAGATGATGAGATGCGTTCATTCAAACAGGCGTTCTGAGTGGCCCTGTCACTGAAGAGAGATCAGGCGAACAGAGGTCAACGATTACAGCGAAATCACAAGGAAAGGGAGGGGGGCATGCACCCGTCAACATACCGCGGACAATCCCATGTTCTCCATCTGCATGGTGGTCTGCCGCGCTATCAGCTCGTCACACTCCGCCTGCTTCCGCAGCCGCGACCTCCTCGCGCTCTCCCTATTGCTCTGCTTGCGCCTCTGCCTCTTCACCTCCCTCTCGTCCTGCCACGCATTACAAAAGTGGGAGAGAGGGGAGTGAGGAAGCAGTACGGGCCAACAGCACGGAAAGCAGTAGCTGTGATATCCTCGCGCTCTCCCTGTTGCTCTGCTTGCGCCTCTGCCTCTTCACCTCCCTCTCGCCCTGCCAGCGGCAACACAGGCACAGGGGGGGACACAGGCAGTTCACGACCCAGGAGCACATATGCGCGAAAGGAGAAAGGAGCCACCAGAAACACCCACGCGAGGAGAATAGCAGAGATGGCCATTTGGAAAGAGACCAAGGGAAGCAAGGGAGGCGACGCAAGGCTCTGTGGAGCTTCCTACATACCCCGCGAAACGGCACTTGGTACATCATACTCCCCCCCACGTCGCCCCCATCCCCTCCTCCCCTCACTCCTGCACGTGCCCCGAGCTTCCCCCCAACGCCCTGCCCCAGGGAGGGGGGCGACACCACGGCACCAGCAGCAGCAGCAGCAGCAGCGCCCCCCCCAGTCCACATATCCGCAGCAGAAGCAGCCATGGGATTATACGCCATTCCGCCAGCCACTCCCCCTCTCGCCCCCCCACCAGCAGCGTGAGGGACCCCCGAACCAGCAGCAGCGCCAGCGCCACCAGCAAGACCGGCAGCCGCCGCAGCAGCAGCGGCTGCCGAAGCAGACGGGCCTTCGGACGGGCTCGAAGGCATGGACGTGTACTCGCCCGCCGAGCCCGAGGCTAGGGCCAAGGCTTGGCCCGAGCCTGGGGCCGGCTGGGCGTGAGGATGGGGGAGGCTTGCCCCACCGGGAGTGGCTGCTGCGGCAGCGTCTGTTGCATGGGACTGCTGAGCCGACCTCTTGCGCTTGGAAGGGGCGGGCTGAGGGGCAGCAGGCGCAGCAGCAACAGGAACCTGGGGAGCCGACCCAGCAGCAGCAGCCCCACCCCCAGCACTGGCTGCGGCAGCGGCGGCAGCAGCAGCAGCAGCCATGGCGTCGTGTGAGTAGTCCATGGGCATGCCGGGGTACCCCTGCGCTGCTGGCATGGCCATGGGCCCCATGGGCCCCATGGGCGTCATCCCCATCATCGCTGCCCCTGCTGGCACCTCAGAACCATCCGCCTGAGGGAAGAGGGGGGGGGGGGAAGAGGAGAAGGTGTTAGAGATCCAAGGCGAGGAGCGGAAAATGGTATGATTAGTAAACTAAATACAAGAACCAGCAGCAACAGCAGCGGCAGCAGCAGCAGCAGCTGCAGCAGGAAGTAGCCATCATCTCCACTACAGCCGAAGAATAACTTACAGTTTGGGCAGGCGGGTAGCCATAAGGGGATGGGGCCACTGCCCCTGCAGCACCCTGGGCCATGCCTGGGTGAGGCGCAGCGTACATGGCAGCATAGCCATAGGGGCCTGGTGGTACACCACCGTAGTGCGCTGCCATCATTGGCTGACGCGGAGAAAGGAGTTGGGAAAACGAAGGGCAAGGGAAAAGGTTGGGGAAACGAAGGGCAAGGGAAAAGGTTGGGGAAACGAAGGGCAAGGGAAAAGGTTGGGGAAACGAAGGGCAAGGGAAAAGGTTGGGGAAACGAAGGGCAAGGGAAAAGGTTGGGGAAACGAAGGGCAAGGGAAAGAGGCAGGAAAAGAATGAAGAGCAAGAGAAAGTGTCAAGCAGAGACAAGAGCCAAAAGGATAGAGCAGACCTGAGACGGGCAAAACAGCATGCTGTCAAAACGCAAAGAAATAGATAAAACTTCCAAGGCAAGGGGTAGTTCTTAAGAATACTGCATGCATACGTTAACTCCATGCTATATAAAGCGCGTGCATGTGGTCCCCACGTGCCTCTCGAAGGCGTGTACCTGTGGTCCCCACATGTACGGATGTGGATGCCCTCCCATTGGTGCGCCGTAATAGCCTCCCGCGTGAGCTGCTTGGCCTCCCGACTTGTAATACGCCTGCATGCCGCCATCACAAGAAAAAGACAGAAGTTGGGTGAACGAACGGCAAAGTTATGTGCACCGAGCGTTTCCGAGGTGCACCTAAATCTTGTTTCAGAAATCACCCAATCAGAGAAGCGAACGGGCAGGAAATCAAGTCTACTGGATGGGGAAGATCCGCTCTCGGCGACAACGCAACGCGACTCCGAGGACCGACGAAAGGGCGGGCGGGGACTACCGTCATGTGTCAATCAGCAGCGTCATAGGTAGAACAAGGCTTGCGGCCTGTGACTGACCTTTCTGCATTGAGCTAAGCTGACTGGGGTTGCGGTGACCTGAAGATCTATGCAACCAGCGATCGGCTCAGCGATACGGATCGCTCGAGCTATGGTGAATGGATCGTCTACTGCTGACTGCTCGAGCTATACTGCTAGCTGGGCTGAGCGACGCTTGCGCTCACTGACTGAGCGATGCTTGCTCACTGGGTGAAGCGACAGACTGGCGACTGCAGCCCAGTTGAAAATACTCGTTAGAAGCGTCGCGATATAGTGCTACTAGGTCGGTACGCTTGCTCACCTGCATGGCAGCTGCAGCCCAATCGTTATACCCGTTAGAAGGGTCTTTCGAAACGTCACCTGCGATTGTTAACGAAGAGAAACGGAAAGCCTCATGAACTCTAACGAAGAGCTGAAATCATCAGGCATAAGAGCAAAAACGTCTCGCACATGGCCGAACAGTTCGAGACATCATAGGACTCGGTCGCGACTCTTTCGAGAAAAAATGAGATCCAGGCCTTCGACGCTGAAATGCTAGGAGGGAAGAAAATGAATGTTCGCCATAAAGCGCGCGTTACATGCCTTGCTGTGCTTGCTCTTCCGCCATTGTCGCGTCAGCCTATGTCCTATCGCCTACTCTGTCGTCGAAGAAGGAAACAAGCCGTTCTAGAAACTTATTTTGCCGTTCTACGCCTCAGACGGCTGATATGAGAGCTTTCGCAGACTGACAAATTCAGCAGCCAGAAAACTAACGAGTGACACGTCGACAAGTGAAGTCACTCAGAATCCATTGCTCAAGCTCGACGCAACATGTTTACTAAATGTTCCCTCAAATGCTTCGCAGGCGGCACGGGAAGCGCGGTGTGAGAAGCAAAGCAGGGAGGTCGGTCAGGAGAGGCAGGCCAGGACTCAGTAGAAAACTGCCATATCATCCTAGGTACTGGGAAAGACAGGAAGGAAAAGCGTGGCCAGGTGGAGAGGGAGGGAGGACATGGCAAGCGAGGAGCGGCCATAACTTGGATCCAGAAACCCTTGTCTGCTCCGACCTCCTACACGCTGGCCCTGGGCCTGACACGGAAGAAGCTGGGTCTGAAACCCTTGTTCGATCGGACGGTATAGAGTGAGTGACGGCGCTATCGACAGTTGAGGATGAATCTGTGGAATCCACGCAGGCGAAGTGGGCAGTTGGGGTTTCGGCGGTGGTTCTGCCACGTCCAGGCTGGTGAAGTAACGCACCTCACTTACGTGGCAGGGGGGTGTTCTGGTTCGGGGAGAGGCTCGGTCTTCGTGCCCCAACGCCTTCACGAAGCGGTAACGAATTTCTTGTAACTACGTCGAAAGTCTTTCCGGTTATGATCAGAACCCACCCTTCACTCAGCTGTATCTTTTGACGAAAGGCTTCATCGCAAAGTCGAATTTTGCGTTAGAGGGAGGAAAATATCAAGCTTGGAAATTCTCTCAACCCGGTAACACGACTTTCGTCAAGCGCAACTTCCTCCCCGCCCAAGGCGTCGCAGCCCGCCCCCCCCCCCCCCCCCCTACCATTCGTCGCACGACTTCGTAATAATGGAAGGACGCGGAAAATCTTCACTGGGGCTGGCAAGGGGCTGGCATGACACGAAATACCACAGGCGCACCGTTGAATCTTGTCGCCGCCGGGCTGCACTGGCAGCGAAAATCCCTGCATCTTGTCCATCGTTGACAAGATGAACCACACACATCCTTGCTGTCTCACGGAAGTCAAGGACAACTCCTACCGCTGCTCTCTCCCCTCTCCCCTCCCTCCCCTCCCTCCCCTCCCCTCCCCTCCCCTCCCTCCCCTCCCCTCCCCTCCCCTCCCCTCCCCTCCCCTCCCCTTCCCAGCTCCAACTCCACCTTATTTTTCCCGATTCGCCTTGGCTGACCCAGGTCTCATGTGCACAAAGGATCTTGGAGGAACAGTACAGAGACAGCCACTTGCGGTTATTCATGGCACCACCGATCTACAGCGACAGCGCGTGCACACCGGGTGTGACGCAAATGTCATGCCGCATGTTGCTTTTACTGAAGGGCACCCAAAAGGACGTTCAATGCAAGGACATCCAGTGGTAGCCAGTTGATGAGCCAGAATGACGGCAGAAAGACATTTGGGGAGCACTCCTTCCGATCATCAGAACGAGCACCGGCGCTTCTCAGTTATTGAGAAAGCAATCTTCGCATTTTCCACTTTACCACGAGCGACGAGAATCAACCTCTAGGCTGTAAGTATTAGTGGCCAAGCCATCATGCTCGCCTTCTCGCAATGGGTCGCGGCTGCCGCGGATGCTGCAGCGAAGTTAATCTCGGCAGAAACAGAGCAGCGGAAGCTGACACTCACCATCACATACGGCCCGTACTTCAACGCCTCGGGAATCCCGCTTCCAGCAATCATGCAGAAAGTGCATCGCCTCGAGGGCTTTAAGCACGAGCTGGAGCGGATGGGCTTCGTTGTTGTAATGAAGAAATCGCAAAGCGTCGGGCTGGTGGAGATTTCGTGCGGCCCGCATCGTATGTTCTTCCTGAACAGCCCCCACCAGATGGAGCAGCTTGCATCCGCTTTGGTGCAACAAGAGGAGCAGAAAGAAGACAGCACAGACGATCCACGTTGGTCCAGATTAGCGAGATCCGTCCTGGCATTCTACTACGAGTGCTACTGCAGTAATACTGCTAGAAGTCCTAGGAAACTGTAATGGGATTTCCGTAATGGGCGCTCGCAGCAGCCACAGGGCATGGCTGGCTGGTGTAGGTGTCCAGAATGTCCCTGCAGCTCTTTTGCTTGTATTAAAGCCCAGGTCCCAAGTTACAAGCCGCGAAAAGAGAGCGCGGTTCGAGTTGGTTCGAGAGTTTTCCGATTGGCTGCGAGGGTGGCGAGAGCTCAAATTCTGAAAACTTCCTTGCGACTGTCGCGAATAAAAATTTGAACTTCGCAAACGAAAACTCAAACGAGGTTGGGAAAGGAAAGCGGGGAACGAGCAAAGCACAACACAAACTAGGCTAACGCGTCACAGCATCAACCAGCCGCACTGCGGCAAACGCGCTGAGCACAACCGAGAGCAACCGAAGACGGTGGGCATTTCCGCAGACCATTACTTAGTGTAAAATATCGAGACTTCTGCTATCGTAAATTTCCTAATTTGCCAGCAACTCAGAGAAGACCCGATCGAATGTCAAGCGGATTACGGATTTCCAAACTTTCACGGATATTGTGTGCAAGTCTAATATCGGATGATTGCAAACCGGCAGCCCATGCGTTCCCCTAAGCTTACCGAGGGTTGTTAGGATCAAACGCAAAGTCGGCAAGCGATGGCTCTGGAATAGACAGCGCTACTCGAGTTAGGGCGTTATACCAGAGCGCGGGATAGAGCAACGAAAGAGACTGCGCAGGGGAATATCCACGACGCATCCACGACCGACGGCGCAGTGCGAGAGAGAGGAGGGATGCAGAGCGAGGGAGAGAGGGGGATGCAGAGCGAGAGAGGGGGGGATGCAGCGCGAGAGATAGAGAGAGGGGGACGCAGAGCGAGAGTGAGAAAGGGGGATGCGGAGCGAGAGAAAGGGGGATGCAGAGTGCGAGAGGGGGGGATGCACGGTGAGAGAGAGGGGGATGCGCGGCGAGAGAGAGGGGGATGCGCGGCGAGAGAGAGGGGGATGCGCGGCGAGAGAGAGGGGGGCGCGGCGAGAGAGAGGGGGATGCACGGTGAGAGAGAGGGAGATGCGTGGCGCGAGAAAGGGGGATGCGCGGCGAGAGAGAGGGGAATGCGTGGCGAGAGAGGGGGATGCGCGGCGATAGAGGGGGGGATGCGGAGCGAGAGAGAGGTGATGCGAAGCGTGAGAGAGGGGGATGCGCGGCGAGAGAGAGGGGAATGCAGGACAAGAGAGGGGGATGCGGAGCTATAGAGAGGGAGATGCGGAGTGTGAGAAAGGGGGATGCGGAGGAGAGGAAGAAGGAGGAGGTAGGAAAGGGGGAGGACAGGGAGGACAGGGGGAGGACAAGGAGGGGGAAGGAGGGGGTGAGGACAGTGAGGAGGTGACAGGATTGGAGGAATGGAGTGAGGAGGATGGAGGCTGGAGTGCGTGGAGGAGGCTGCTGGGATATATTCCAGCGCAGCCTCCCTGCCTTCTGCCTCCCTGCCTTCTGCCTCCCTGCTTTCTGCCTCCCTGCTTTCTGCCTCCCTGCTTTCTGCCTCCCTGCTTTCTGTCTCCCTGCTTTCTGCCTCCCTGCTTTCTGCCTCCCTGCTTTCTTCCTCCCTGCTTTCTTCCTCCCTGCTTTCTGCCTAGGGCTTTCTGTCTCCCTGCTTTCTGCCTCCCTGCTTTCTTCCCCCCTGCTTTCTGCCTCCCTGCTTTCTCCCCCCCTGCATTCTTCCCCCCTGCATTCTTCCTCCCTGTGTTCTTGCCCCCTCTCTCTCCCTTCCCCCTTGTTCTTCCTCCCTCCCTGCTCTCATGCTCCCTGACCATCCCTCACTCGCTGCCCATCCCTCACGCTCTGCCCATCCCTCACGCTCTGCCCGTCCCTCACGCTCTGCCCGTCCCTCACTCTCTGTCCATCCCTCACTCGCTACTTATCCCCTCAGTCCGTGTTTGACTATCACCCTCTCCCAGCTCTCACTCCCCCCCTCCTCCCAGCCACGATTGCGTGCCCGCGATAGTGTTCAACTCAATGCGGCAGAAGGCACGGCCGAGTTGGGCGATTATGAATCATGTAGAGATTGATGGGGTGCTGGTGATGTAAAACTACTAGGTGACGAGGCAGCAGGGAAACAATAGGGAGGTGGATCGATTGGGGAACTGTAAAACCAATGTGTGTATTGAACTTGGTCACTCAAGCAGTGTAAACAGAAAGCTCATAAACTTGAACCAAGGGCCTTCCTCTAACTTCCCTCCTGCAGTCTCCCGCCAGGGTGGGTTGTCAACTCCTTGAGTGACTTTCTTCTGCGTGACACAAAGGGTGTCCAGCGACAGCTGCGCACACACGGAGGGAGGGAGAGAGAAACAGGGAGGATGGAGTGGCTCAATGGGGTGGGAGAGGGTTTATGGGGCAGGAGACAGGATGGGGGGTTGGAGACGCCGCAGCATCACAAGTGCTACGGATGCAACTTTTCCCGTCCACTCCCCCTCCCCTGCTCTCACTCCACTCCCCGTCCCCTGCTCTCACTCCGCTCCCCCTCCCCTGCTCTCACTCCACTCCCCTCCCCTGCTCTCACTCCACTCCCCCTCCCCTGCTCTCACTCCACTCCCCCTCCCCTGCTCTCACTCCGCTCCCCCTCCCCTGCTCTCACTCCACTCCCCCTCCCCTGCTCTCACTCCACTCCCCCTCCCCTGCTCTCACTCCACTCCCCCTCCCCTGCTCTCACTCCGCTCCCCCTCCCTTGCTCTCACTCCACTCCCCCTCCCCTGCTCTCACCCTCCCCTCCCCTCTCACTTCTCCCACTCCACTCCCTCTCCCCCTGCTCTAACCCCGCTCCCCCTCCCCTGCTCTCACTCCGCTCCCCCTCCCCTGCTCTCACTCCGCTCCCCCTCCCCTGCTCTCACTCCGCTCCCCCTCCCCTTCTTTCCTTGCCTTCTCTCCTTCCCGTGTGCTCTCGCCTCTCTCCCTCCCTTCCCCTGACGCCTCACTCCCTCTCTGCTCTCACGCCTCTCTCCCTCACCTTATCACAATCCTCACCTTTTCCCATGCATTCACGCCTCTTCCCCTCTCCTGCCCTCACGCCTCTCCCCCTCCCCTGCGCTCCCTCCTCTCCCCCTCCCTGCGCTCCCTCCTCTCCCCCTCCCTGCGCTCCCTCCTCTCCCCCTCCCTGCGCTCCCTCCTCTCCCCTCCCTGCGCTCCTCCTCTCCCCCTCCCTGCGCTCCCTCCTCTCCCCCTCCCTGCGCTCCCTCCTCTCCCCCTCCCTGCGCTCCCTCCTCTCCCCTCCCTGCGCTCCCTCCTCTCCCCCTCCTCTGCGCTCCCTCCTCTCTCGCTCCCTCCTCTCCCCCGCCAGCGGGCCT